CCGAGGGGCATATTATGTCATAGGGACTTTGATTAGTACTCAATCGGTAAGGTCGTCCAGATGGCCCGACGGAGATTATTCCTTCAGTTGCAACTGGTCCCTTCCGAACCACTTACTTTGATCAGTGCAAAAATTGTCTCCTAGTGTGGGCACGGGGCCAGCCAATTGCTTGCTTGTAACGACCTGTTGTTTTTAAAAATATATACAGTGCGGGTTGAAGTTCATAAAAAATGCCAAAATTTGCGAAAGATTGATAAGCACTCGCAAACTGGCACTAACGCATGCACGAAAACTTTGAAATAATAATGCACAATGTTAGGCGAATTTCTAGCTGAAAATAAATGTAAAATTGCCAATTGTTGATTAAGAACCATACAATTCTCTTAACAATACTCCAGTTCCGCAAACGTGAAAATAACTATAAATGTGACCAATAAATTTCACTTTAATCGTTAGTTGAAATCATAACCATACTATAATATATATATGCAGTTTTTGTTACCGTCCCAAATTGTTGATGCGGTAGAACAAAATACGGTCAAAATTGCTTTATTGCATTTTGTTACAAAAAACTTCAGGTATTGACAAAAAAGAAGATTTTTAAAACTGAAATTGTTCCGTTTCTGAAAAACGATAGGATTTTTTAAATTTGGCTTCACCTGATTTTCATCAAGTCAAGGCTAGATTTTTCGGTTCTAGAAAGAACATATTTTAAAGTTTTCTTGTTTATATTGGGTTTCTCCCACTGCACCATGTGTAACAATAAAAGGTTGTTTCTGCCATAGTAGCACAGGGAATTTGTTTGATATCAGGCTGTTATAACGGCGACTTCTGTGGTGTCACCGTCTAATTACGCCCTTTCGAATCCCCAAGGAAGAACACAATAAGAAAAGCACAATTTTGGATTCCACCCAGAGGAGGGTTTATTGTGTACAAAACCTGGAGTTACTTTCTCGGGTGGCAGGTCCGTGTTGCAACTCACTGTCTGAGATGTGACAGTGGCTTATAAATTATTGTCAAGCAGGTTCGCTTGTGGCCTCATTGGGCGCGTTCTCGGAATAAGGTCACTTGCCGTGGCGCGCCTAAGTGGACCCTTGAGAGACTGTGACCAGTTGGGGCACGCGCCTTGACGCGTGTGCGTGTCTCCAGTCTAGTCTTTAGGGTCATCGCGTGAAGGCGGTCATAGCGAAGGCAAAAAGCCATTGTGGCAGGCACGACGCCTCAGGAGAGCTTATAATTTTGCTAGCATTTGGTCAGGCTAAACTGCTAACACAGGCAACCTCTGATTTCGCCAAAATATATGCCAATTACCCTTAAATATACTGAACTAAACAGGCTGATTTCCTTATTAAAAGGCTTTCTTAGGATTAAATCCACCAAACAGAGCAAGATAACGTGACCAAATGTGTCTTAAACTACCAAATCCAATTTCGATCATGTCTGTTGCCTGAGTTTCTAACCGCACAGCATGACGTGCCAACATTATTAACTTTATGAAATAGCGTGATTGCGAACGGTCAGTAGGTGAATAAAATTGCCTGTAAGGATTCCTCGTGGGGTCATGGTTATGTATAATAACCACCTACTTAAACATTTTAAGTAGGTTAAGTTACCCACAATCTTTCAGTTTTCTGCCCGCCAGACGTCGATCCAGCAGGGATTGGATGACGACATTGAGCTGCAGAGGGGTCCCCGGGAGGCCGCCGCTTACAATAACCACTTAGGTCAGTATGCTAAGCGAAAATGGCTCTTAAAATTAACAACGGGAATAATCGACTACTTAAAAATTCTAAGTAGGGTGAATTTCCACATTCTTCCAATTTCTGCACTCGTTTACCTTTATTCTAGTTGAGGTTAGTATAACTATTAGAAATTGTACCTCAGTGACCTCGCCCGAGGTTTAGGCACACTTCCCCGACATACACAAGCTCGCCGTTGGTCCGGTGGGGGGGGGGTTAACTGTGATATTAGAGCGTACTCTACTGTCCCCGCCCGAGGTTTGAGTACGCGCCCCAACTTACCCTCTTAGTTTTTGTATTTTACAGGATTATTGCGATCTGATTTATTCCCTGACATGCCCACCCGTCCTCTCCCCTAAAATCAGAAGCCTGTAAGATCGAGGGGCGCGCTTCGTGCGCCACCCCAGGCGGCCCCATGAGGAACTCCTACCAATTTGCCGTTATAAAATCCAACGACCGGATCTCGAAGTGCACGTAGGATGTCGGTGTCTCCTGCATTATTGCATTTATTACTTTAAAAACCACTACACCTAACGAAAAGTGCCCTGACCGTTACTGGAAAGTTAATCTGGCAGCTTGATGTAACACCACTAAGGATGACTGCGTTACACAGCCTGCGTTTAGAGCTCCAAAAAGGCATCGATTTACACATCTGCAGCGCCATGTCTATAAACCCCCTTTGTTCCACCCATTGCATCCGCGTCTTCTCACCTATTTCTTGGAGAGGCATATTTTGCTTGTGTCGGTAGGTAGGCTTTTCAGTGAAAAAGTGTCAATTGGTTAATCCAAACAGTAGAAGCTGCCCTTTCTGTTCCATGTTAACTACCGGTTTGCCGATGCACGCAGGTTCCTGAAGGACAAAATTGCGGAGCTGGAGTCGGGTGCACTGGAGGACCAGGCGGTGGAACGCCTGTGGAGCGCTGTTCAACAGCAGCAGAACTGCCTCGGAGACGGAAAGGCGACGACGACGGCGACTGATACGCCCACAAAGCCGGAAGCGGAAGAAGAAGTGAAGGAGGAGGAAGATGACGGGGAGACGGAGGTGAAGGACTTTCTACGCGAACTCACCTCCTGGCCAGATCCGACTGCTACGCCGGCT